AGCAGGGTTCAGGAGGAGGAACATGCTGTCATGCGGTATAGAGCACAGTTATGAGACCCATGGACTGATCTGAGGCCAGTTTTCCCTGCATTTGTTACTGCTGAGGATCATTATCAGCATTGAGCCTCAGGACTGACCCCAGATCAGCGGAGAGCAGTATGAGATGAAGAGCGGTGCTACTCTACCTGACGCTGAGCTCTCGCTGTTCACCGGAAGCCGAGAAGAGGGAGAACACAATCATCCAGAGCAAAGCCAAACAACACACGACAAACCAACAGGCCCACACTGAACCTCAGCACTCTCTAATGCAGGTTTGTCAAACTTAGTTCCTGTAGGGCCGCAGCCCTGCACACTTTAGTCCCTGCTTCAACACACTTACCTGTAGGTTTCAAACAAGTCTAAAGGACTCAATTAGTTTAATCAGGTGTGTTCAATTAGGGTTGGAACTAAACTGTGCAGAGCTGCGGCCCTCCAGGAGCTGATTTTGACACCTGTGGTCTAATGAGATGATTTCATGAGGAGCTTTTTCAAAAGGTGTCAAATAACTGTTTGGATAGCCCGGAATGCATCTGTAAAGTTTCAGCTAAAGATACCATATTTAGTATAGCTTGTCAAATTTGTCCCAATTTAAGGGTGAGCAAAAATACACTATTAGTCTGTGTGTTCCTTTAAAGTGCCCTTAATTATGGACTTTTTTTTGAAAATGACCTCTTATGCAGTGTTTAACGCAGCTCTAGGTGAATGAAAACATCCAGCTGAGGTTTAAATCTGAAAGTGCTCCATGTATAAAGCTATTTACTCTCAAAAAATAAATAAATAAATAAAATAAATAAATAAATTGAAAAGAGTTCACTCAGTGTCATTTTAACGAATCAATTTTGAAGTAGATCTTTTTTCGTTGCAGTTCATCCAGGTCAGGCATTGTCCACCCAATTGTTGCAAGCGCATACCTGAGAAAACTTGAAACTTCCTTCTTTAATTACTACAGTAACCCACCATATAACACAGAATTCACCGGCTGTTTGTGGTTAAAGGAAAGACCAGTACAATACTAAAGACCATTAATGTTCAGTTGAAGTCAGAATTATTAGACCCCCTGAATTATCAGCTCCCCTGTTTATTTTTTTCCCCAATTTCTGTTTAACGAAGAGAAGATGTTTTCAACAGATTTCAATGGCTTTATCAGTGTAAAGACGTCCTTCCACTGCACATGGCAAATGACAAGCGACAGACTGGAAGTCATTCAATTCCAATGGGGAGCTGCATAGAATTCCGATCATCTCCTTATGCAGTAAATTTGGATCTTTGAAATATTTTAACTCCTCCGACTAGACCGTATGTGACCGGACGTGATGTATTCCAGTATTATTTAAGCAGGTCTGTGCTCACAACATGAGAAATAGGAGTTTTTTGTTATTTTTTGAATCAGAAAAAGTCTATATTTAAAAAAAAAAAAAAAAAAACATTTCTATATATAAATGAGTAAGAAAATATAATATTTTAATGTTGTCTCCATTCCCTCTAAAAGTTTTAGCAGTCTATGAGTATTTAGTATTCATTCAATCAATCATGGTGAATGCACAAAGAATAAAAGCTCTTGCTTTTGCACTCCTATATTTCTGACACCACAAGATTCTTTCCTATGGTGCACGACAAATCTAAAAATTCTGTGCGAGTGTCACAAGGGGGCGTATTATGTCAATTGTGTCTGAATGTCTTGTGCAGTAAAAAGATGGCTTACGTTTTTTTTTTTTTTTTGCCGACCAAACATGCAGCAGTTTGCAACTCTGACATGCTTGCTCTCGCTGCAGAAAGTTCAAAATAGTTCAACTTTTGCCACTGCGCAGAAATATGATTAATACTAAATATTTATTAATACTGAATGTTAATTGTTGTAATTACTTGGAGTTTTAAAGAAGAATAGAGCAATATGCTGGTGTACAAACTGCATTGAGCTTTCGCATTTATTGTACCATGACTGCTTGTTTCAACACTTAAAATTCATGATGGCATACTGCTTCTGACATATGCTACATACAGTAGACCAGTCATGTCCAAACTCGGTCCTGGATGGCTGGTGTCCTGCAAAGTTTACTTCCAACCCCAATCAGACACACCTGGGCTAATCAAGCTTTTACGAGGCTTTTTAGAAACATTCTTGCAGGTGTGCTGAGGCAAGTTGGAGCTAAAATCTGCAGGACACCGGCCCTTCAGGACAGAGTTTGGACACTTCTACAGTAGACAAATCACAAAAGACTGGGTCATTGGACCAATCACAATAGGCTAGGTCATGCAAAGGGGCGGTTATTAGTAACGAATCGCTGAACAAATTCATTTGGAGCTTTTTTGATAATTATGTAAAAATATGTGTGTAAAAACATATTAAATTAGAAGATTTTATATCTCTCCAACCGCCACCCCCAGAAAAAAAAAAAAAAAAAAAAAAAAAAAAATATATATATATATATATATATATATATATATATATATATATATATATATATATATATTAGTGCTGTCAATCGATTAAAAAAATTAACTAATTAATCGCACCTTTTTAAAAAAATTTATCGCGATTAATGAAACTTGAAACTTGTAATTTTGCCTATTCAAATGTAAAATTAATGTAAACGCAAGACAAGATTTAAATTCAAAATAGAATTGTTTATTAGAATTAAAATTCAAAATATAATTGTTTAATAGAATTTTTGTTTAACTTGTAACTTGTAACTTGATTTCTTCATGTAAACAACATACCCACAATAAACCATCAAGATCCTGGCTTGACAGCCATATTTATTAAAAAAATTAACACACAGGCATGTTAATGACATTTAAATTTCAAAACAATCAATGCCAATAAAGAAAACATTGATTTCCATGTTGGATTCTAAGTGGACTGCAAAAAAATGCCAAAATACAGGAATTGCAGATATGGAAAATTAAAAATTATAATAATAAACTATAGAATACAAACTGTTGGACTCATTGTAAAGTTTTATTGCTGTGAGTTGAGAACATTAGTTATAGAGTAGAAACAATTTTGCTTAATCCTCCTTTACATTCATCCAGTTGCTAAGTCAAGGAGTATCCCGCAAGTGCACAGAGACTCCCAAATGCCGGCAAATGAATGATAATTTCTCGCAAACCGGTCGTTAAATACCCCTCTCCCCCGCATCCCACCTAGCTCTTCAGGTAGCCTATGTCGCACGCAACTCACCCCCACCGTCTTTCAGGTACGTCTCGCGCGCACACGCCCCTACTCAGATACGTCGCTCACTCCACCCCTGACACCCCTCAACATGCCTGACACAGACACACACACACAACCTGCTGCAGACGTTTTGGCCCCAATGGCCTTCCATACTGGAGCGACTCCCCTCAGATTCAACACGCATGATCACGTTCATCAAATTTGCTTAAGCTAAGCGTCCTAAAGTATTACTGTATTTCACAAGGATTCTGACACAACAACGCGAAGCATAAGCTTTTGTTGCATTTAATGAGGAAACACGCTAAACTTGGAGGGCTCATGCTGAAAGGCAAAGTAATGCCCTGTCTTTGACAGCTCGCGACTTCACCAGAGGCTTTCAGAGTACATTCACATAAGACACCAATACTCCGATTTTAATATGATTAAGATTATACTCTTATTAAAATTCTACCGTGTAGCCTAAGCAATTTTATTACCTTAAAGGAACACCAAGTCACGAAATAAGGAGGATTTTCTTTCTGTTTGCCATGCGGTATCAACTTACAACAGAAGTCGAAAGTTAAAAATGAAACACCTGAAATTGCATGAAACTTTGGAGAGCCTGGTGATGCGACTAATTGTTTTATACTGAAACTTGCCTTTAAAAAGTGCTTCCTTGGTCTTATCCACATTTATTGCATGTTGAACATACGTCCACCACAACAGGAAGTAAAAAAACCCCTGCAAACTGTGTTAATTGCGTAAATTTTTTTTAACGCGCTAATTATTTCAAATTAATCACATGCATTAACGCACTAATTTTGACAGCACTAATATATATATACATATATATATATATATATATATATATATATATATATATATATATATATATATATATATATATATATCATAATCAGGGCACTTTAAATGCAAATGATCTGCTGCTTCCCAAAAGAGGGTGGAGCCTATACAGGCTATTCTGACAAAAAAATAAATAAAAAATAGAGAATCTCATGTCAGAAATGACCAGTAGCAGATTAATTTATTGCATGTTCAAACCAGTCAGACAATGATGGAGAAACTGAAGAGGTTACAACATTTATGTAGTTGTAAAATTGATTAAAATCATAGACTAGTAAATTTCTCTTTAATGTAATCTTTACAAAAGGCGTAAAACGAACTGTCAACTAAACTGGTTGCGTTTAGCAGCTGCAGATTCATTGTGGGCCTGAAGAAAATGAGTCTGTTCAACACTACAGTCAGTGAAACAAACCACATGATGTGTCAAATATTAGCCATGTGTCAAAGCATTCCCAAATCCAAAATGCACAAGTGTTAATAAATCTACTTGTTATTAGGTGCACAGATGGATTACTACTCTAATAACATTATATTTAGTGATCACTTATCCCATTATACATTTTAATAAATACAGATCAGAATTAGTATGCAAGTATGCATGTATGTATCTTTATACATGACAATGTAAGCTGAATTAAAATGCATTATTAAAAGCATTAAAGTAGCCCTTTTAGTTGCATTTAATATGCTTTTATTTGCTATAATTTCTATGTATATATAAACACTTTTGTTAATTGTATTTCATGTCTTTGATGGGACTTCAATATGGGACTCTTGACTTTTATTCTTATTTATCCACAAGGGGGCGATCCTAACCCCCTAAAATGTACAGCAAGTAGTAAACTAGACTGATAAAATGATGAATCAGATTGAGACAGGGCTATCTTTAATTGCTGCTCTCTATTAAATATTCAGATATTATCAGCATGTGTGTTGTTCTTACCTCCTCCAGCTGACTGTGTACATGCTGCACTATCAGGTCAATGGCCACCATGTTTCCACCCCCTACAAGAAATCAAGATCAGCTGTTTGAATCAAAACATTTCTAAAATCACACTTAACACTACAGCTGCTTCTTAATTGAATGCTACCTCATTTCTAAACTACAGTGTGATTCAGACGCAGTACATAAAGTTAGTCAACTTAGGGGACATTTCAGCTCACTGACTATATAACCCTACTTCTGATTTATTAGTCCTAATTCAATTTTGCAACATTCCTATCTGAAAACGTTAGTCTTTGGCTTTCAGAACACACATTTGTTTTTGTCAACCAGAAACAATGATTGTTTTTGGTTCACATAGAATACTGAAGATATTCTAACATCATATTAGCCCATCATATTCTACACATATGCCCATCATATTCTAACAATACAAGAGTATTATCAAGTACTACCTGAATGAGGAGGTGGACCTAAATAATCAGACTATACAAGGCACATTTAATTTTTATTTGTCATTTCATTTGTAAAGTAACCCTAGAACCACAGTATAGAGGATTGAATTAAACTTTTTACCATCAATGTGTAACATTAATAATATAAACATTTTAAATGCATAAGACAAAATTATTAATTTAAATTTATCTACATAGTACAATATAAAGTGGGACCCTTGATTCAGATTGGTCAATTATGTCATTTCAAGGTATGTTATGTAAGGGATAAAGAATATCCAGCTGATTGTTATCGCAGAATAAAGCCCTTATTGGCAGCCTAAAGCGAAGGGGAGCTTTATTCTGTGAAAACAACCCCCTGGATATACTTTATCCCGCTCATTACACTTCATACTTGCCACAAAACATACAAATTAGACACACAGTTGTGTGTTTATTGGGCCATAATAGTTCATCAACTCTTTAATTAAAGGCAAAGCTGACAGAAATGTAAGTGGCTGAATGGAGCATACACTAACTTATGTACTATTCTGTCATAAAATGATACCAAACAGTCAAAAACAACAGCATGACAGAGAATCTTAAAAATATGGATGTGAACATGTTGAGGCCCAATCCCAATTCTATTTTTGTACCCCTTCCTCTTGGCTCTTGAAACAGAGTGTGAAGGGGAAGGGCTTCAAAATGTACGTGTTAGAAACGAGACAGCAACACTACACCTGCACACGTCATCATATGCCATTGCGATCTCTTGCTTCATATGAGATTGATAATGGCGACTGCTGTAGTTATTCCAGTTGCTTTATTTTTTGGTATTTCTCTTTAGTAAATCACTGAAGGCAAGTTATCATGTTGTCATAACAATATATTGTGACAATAAGATCGTAACTGTACTGAGAATTTACACAGTGGTCAAATTCATCTATGTAAACACACAAAAAACAACATTACATTAAAGCAGACACTGTAAAAAGGTCATTCCCAGCCACTAGACTTTTCTGACAGGGTATTTGAGTGTCATTGAGAGACAGATTGTTGTGGGACTACTGTACAGATGTTATTATTAGAGATTATAGATAGCAAAATCTAATGGTTTTTATTTTAGCGTTTTTTAAAGCATGATGGTAAAACACAAACGCCATTATGAATGTATTAATATATATGCTTGTATGATGTAAAAATTCTGAATAATGACAAACAGTACTAATTTGTGCATCTCCCGACCGTGTGCAGCTATACTGCCGTTGTGACTTGTGTATTCTGGAAAATTGTTTTTACCCCTTGGTTTCGAGTGTGGTCTTGAAAAATTTATGTTTGAAGGGCTATCTAGCCCTTCCCCTTAGCTCTCTGCCTTCAAGATAAAGATAATTGGGACCAGGGGGACGGGGAAGGGATTAGTACCGGGATGAGCCCGTGTTATTCAGCGGTTGTTATCTCAGAATAACATAGTTGGAATATTGCAACTAAACAATCAGAATTAAGTTTTAACACTTAAGTTTAAGTTGTCACACTGCTATTCTTAATTGTTTGGCACCCTTTGCCTGAAAAATAGGTCAGTAAGTAAGGTCAGTGGAGGCATTTAGCCATTTTTCTTTTCGACAAACTTTACTTTTAAATCGCAACATGTTCTTCATTAAGCATTTACATAAATACATGAACATGGGAGTACTTAAAAGCTGCAAATATCACAATAGCGATCCTTGGTGTCTGTGAAATGTAAGAGAGCTCTTGGATTTGTAATTTGTGTTATGAAAAAAAAAATCTTTAACAGGTTTGGCATTGTTTCACTTGCCCTAAATTACTCGCACTTTTTTTTTTTACCTGTGAATGTTTCCCAGCTTTTAGCTTGAGTTCAAATTTTGGCAAGTTTAAGGTAAATACCATGTTGTTTGTGGAAAATGTGCTGCGCATTTTAGATCATTTGTGCTGCCTAATAGAAACTTGCGTCTATTTGTGCTTGTATTTACTTTGTACGTGATCTACACGTAAGAATACTTTATTTCATATATGGTGTAAAACCAGCATTACAGGTTTAAACTGGTTTAGAGAATGATGTAGAGCAAAAAGTTACAACTTCTAGGTTGAACAGAAATTTTCTGACCTTTTAATGGATGAATTTATATAGCTGTTGTAGAATAAAGCTGATTAAACTTATCGACTGCACTCTAAAAAAATAGCATAAGCTGTTGTTCAAATTATTTATTTAAAATGAGTTGAAAACAATCCTTGAGTTTTTTTTTTTGGGACAACTTTTTTTTTTTGTTCAATCCACTTACATTTTTAAAAACTATTAAGGTAACTTAATTCATTTATGTTTCCCCAGCACAAATCGATTGTGTGGAACCTGGCATTTTAACAGTGTGTAAGTTACCCTCTTTACTGGACTTTACACATAAACAATACACTATTAGTACAATTCTCTAACTTGTAGATTATGAAAAACTTTAGAATATGTTAAAAGTCAACTGAAGGATGAGTTTTTTTTTAGGATTTTGTATAAACACGGTGACATTTAACAGCTGCAGATTCATTGTGAACCTGAAGAAAATTAGTTTGACTGAATGACATAAGGGGGAATGATTAATGACAAAGCCTAACTCACCCCTTGGCACCACAATATCTGCCAGTCTCATGGTTGGCTCAATGTACTGTTCAAAAGCCGGCTTGACAAATTTGTTATACTGTTTGATGACTCCCTCGATGTCCCGTCCACGCTCTGTGATGTCCCTCCTGAGCCTCCGTACCAGCCGGATGTCAGAATCAGTGTCCACAAAGATCTTCATGTCCAGCAGCTGAAACACAGACAGATCTCGCTTACTGTGGAGATGACAAAAACAGGACACATTTACGTGATGAGCAGTTTAGAAGATCACCTTCAGCAGCTCTTTATCCGCAAATGACATGATGCCCTCGAAGATGATAACACTTGCACCATACACTGTTTTCTGAAACACAAACACACATTATATAAACTAAATGCCATACTGTAATTGTTTTTTTTTGTTGTTTTTTTGTAGAATCATTTTATCTATTAATAGAAGGCAAGAGTCGATAGGTTTATTTAAGTTTTTGGACTTTCAGCAGTTAAAATTAAACCACACTGAACACTGAAAACTAAACTGACACGGTTTCAAATTACTAGAACTTCTATATTAAGCTGCATTGACACAATCTACATTGTAAAAGTGCTGTAGAAATAAACATACAGTAAATTGTTTTAAAAAGTTAGCAGTAGGGACTCAAATGACCAATATAGTTTCCGTTGAAACTAATAAAAATTCCATTATAATATTATATTATAATAATTCCATAAAAAAAAAAAAAACATTTCAAAACGATTACATGGTTTGTGTTGTATTCATGCAGGTTTTACTTTCTTTTACTCATTGTTTACTAGACAAACTACATGACAAACTGAAAAGAAACTGCATTTCATATGTTTTTTTTTTTTTTACACGCAAAGTGTTACCATAAGTCACTTTTTATCTTTCCATTAACAGAATGTTTTTCAAATTAATTACTTATTACCATTAGTGTTAAGTAACAAATTACAAATACTCAAATTAATGTAATTAAGTAGTTTTTCTCAGGAACTGTAATTTACTAAGTAGCTTTAAAAGTGTGTAAAACTTTCCCTTGAGTACATTTTGGTGATGTATTGGTACTTTTACTCCACTACTTTCTTTTAACCTGCAGTCACTACTTTATTTTTCTTGTCTATGGGGATTAGACAAATCAGTCCTGTGATTCCTGTCCAATCAAATCACACATAGAAGGTAAATCGCATCATAATGAACCACCTCAAGACATAGGCGATTTATAATCGCAGCAAACTGGAAAACATTTCACGTGTCCAAAAAGGTGTCTAAAATTTTTTTACACGAATTGACCCAGATACTGTTTAGATGCATGTCACTGATGAGAAGATGGCAGGTGTTTACTGTATGATGACCGTAATGGCCTTAAACACCCAGCAGGCACAAGACGTCAACATGACATCAAATTGACGTTGTACCCTAACGTCATGGGAACATTGCATTTTGTTTGGAAATGAAAATCGGGTTGACGTCAGAACTCAACGGCAGGCCAACATCGATGTTCAACCTAAAACCAACAAAAGATCAACATCTAATGATGTTACAGCTTGACGTTGTGTGGATGTTACCACTATGACGTCTATCAGACGATGAATTTTGGTTGCCATAGCTGATGAATAAATGTCAATATGACGTTGGTTTATGATGTTGGCTCGATTTTGGCTTTTGCTACAGCAGCAAAACACACTGTAAAAAATCCAACTTGCAAATTGCTAACTCAAATCAAAATTGTAAGTTGGGTGGACATATTTTGAGCCCAGTGTTGAGTTTACTTTTAAAAATGAGTTAACTGAAGGTTTAAAACTGGTTTGTTCAATGAAAGTAAATACTTAAGTTGAGCAGACTTTACATTTTGAGTTCTTCACTGGATCATCTACTTCCCGTCTTTGCACATGCTCAGTCTGTCTTCGGGTGCCATTTTGCACGAGGTGTCCTCTCACCAGCAGCAGCTGCCATCTCCTGATTCAGGTAAGCTTTGTTTTAGCTTTATTATCAAAATTAATCTAAATAGCGTGCAAATCTAAAGTAAAATGTAATGTTATGTTCCCAAAAAACTAAGTTACATCGTGTGAAGATCATTTCTGACAAGCTCGGGCTAACAAGCTAGCCACCTGTGAAGTTTGCTTCATTTGAAGGACTGTTTAACGTTAATTTGCTTCTTAAACTGGAGGGAAATGTAGTGAAATATTGTTGTTGCAAACAGACATATCTGAGCGGCTGGTCACCACTGTATTGTTAACCCTGTTGTGTCTGTATTAAAACAGCAATGCGGTAACATTAAAACCACTTCAAAATAATATTTAGCATACCACTTTAAATATACAGTCACTAGTAGTGTACATATAGTATTCCAGGAGCTTGTGGTTTTTATGATTATTTATTTGGCATACATTAACCATTTATGAGTTAAGTAACATGTATGTATGTATTATTTAAATCTTCTCTTTTTATGTTTGCAATATTTATTTTATATTGTGCTTTTTAAAAACATCAGTTTAATTTATGAAAACAATTTGACCTGCAATGTTACATTTTTATTTACTTTTTTATAGGTTTGGAATGCAGTGTAAGTTTTGCAAATTTGTAAACAGTAGCTGAGAAGTTACACTACAGACTACATCGCTATCAAGGACCATCCTGGCAGCAGCCTTGTTTGTTCGCAGACTGCTTCTGCACTTTAAAGACTGTAGGTGCATTAAAATCACATTTGACATTAGCACATTAACAGTCCGCTGCAGTTACTGACTATTTGATTTTTTTAACCTCCTGTAGCTGATGTCCGAAAACAGTGGCCTGCATGTTTTTGGGAGTTTAGGCAAGTTTGCATTTGAGATTATTTATTTCAAAATGTATAACCCTTGTTCACAATTCATACTATTCATTTTTTTATGGTCTGTTTGTAGGTCTATGCTGAGTTTTACAGGATTACTCAAACCAACCTCAAAGATATCTTCTCTTTTTCGGATGAATACGCTATCAAGTTTTATGGATCATGTGGTGGGCGATATGGAGAGATAATAAGAACCGCCCTGGACCAACTGGACAATCAAGTAATTATTTAGCATTCAATCATATCACTGATTAAAGGGGGGCATATTAAACTTTATGGAGTTTACCATGGAGTTTCTCTTTTTGTGTGCAATATTGGAATTCATGCAGGTCATTAATCTTTGAAGTTACAAAACAGTTTGTTCCCTAAAAGAAAAGTTTGTAGCACTGTTTTCACCTCTGTAAAGGATGCTACATTTTCATCACTTAGTCTTTAGTAGAACAACCATGACTGAGTCCGGCTGACCAGGGAGTGAAAACAGGTGCTGCAACAATAATTATAAAGCAAATTTCATTTTTAATAATTAAAACATGTTGGGAATTTCTGATCAAAATGACTAACCTGTGAATAACCATAATTAATGCCCTTCAATTGTAAAGTGGTGCCACCTGTCATCTCTCAGGGTCTGAGCATCTGGTTTAATGTGACAATAGCTGATGACCTATGGCAAGCCGTTTTAACTTTTATTCTATAGCCCGTACTAGTATCTATTTTCTTGTTACTAGTACTTATCCATTTTCTTAGTTCTTTTCCATTAAGTACTAACTAGTACTTATTTATTAGTTACTAGTACTTATTTATTAGATACTAGTACTTATTTATTTGTTACTAGTACTTATTTATTAGATACTAGTACTTATTTATTAGATACTAGTACTTATTAAATAGATACTAGTTCTTATTTATTAGTTACTAGTACTTATTTATTAGATACTAGTACTTATTTATTAGATACTAGTACTTATTTATTAGATACTAGTACTTATTTATTTGTTACTAGTACTTATTTATTAGATACTAGTACTTATTAAATAGATACTAGTTCTTATTTATTAGTTACTAGTACTTATTTATTAGATACTAGTACTTATTAAATAGATACTAGTTCTTATTTATTAGTTACTAGTAACTATTCTGTTGTTACTCGTAATGAATTAAAAATTTTCCCATTCATTTCTATGGGATCTCTAATTGAGATATCAACTATTCAGTTTTGACTAGTATGTATTCCAGCTGTGACTAGTGCATATTTTTATCTACTAGTAGTTAATCATGAGGTACTAGTACCTATTACTGAGATGCTACTACCTAATTAATAGATACTAGTACTTATGTATTAGATATTAGTCCTTATTCATTTGGTACTAGTATCTATTTAATAGATACTAGTACTTATTTATTAGATACTAGTACTTATTAAATAGCTTACTAATGTTTATTCATGTAGAGTTGATGCTTAACGGATAATCAATTCACTATTTGCTAATGCTTAATAAATGATTCATTATTATAAAAGTGTTACCTGAAATGTTTTATAAATAGAAGGTATATAAATGACTGTGTTACTGACATTACTACCTTCAGTTTCCAAATTAAGTTGCTTTTTTTTACCTTGCTTTTTGGAGATGTTTGTGATTTAGCAGTAAAAATAGTTTTTCATCCTCTTTTTATGTTTCTTTTTACTGCAGGACACAGAGCCAGAAGATATTTGCACAATAGAGATGGAGATGGACATCCTTAGCACTGTTGCCACTCTTCAGACCAACCTAAATGTAAGGTGCCTGTCTGTGGTTCTGGAAGAGCAAATCGTGCTGGAAAAGATCTTCCGACAGCTGTTGTTCTCCTCTTTGGTTTGATTAATTTCCTGAACTACCCCAAAGAACTGAAACACATCTTTAAAACTATTCAGAAAGTGTTTATTGGCCTTGAATGCATTTGTTTGTACACTGAAATTGTGTTACTCTTGGTGTTGTCACCAAACTTAAATTCAGTTTTGATTTTACATTTTCCAATTTTAAAAACATCCATTTCCCACCAATTGATAGATTGGCTGTTGTGTTCAAGCGCTCAACATAAATGACTGTGATTGGCTGAGAAGTTCACCATTTCACTGCTCTTCACTGATGTTCATGGAGTGCAAACACAGATACACACACACACACACACACACACACACACACACACACACACACACACACACACACACACACACACACACACACACACACACACACACACACACACACAGCGTACCACTTGTGTCAGCTTATACACAGACCAGTTGATCAATGTGAAATTCTTAAGTGTCCCTGTATCTGTGGTTACACTCAGTAAACAGCAGTGAGTTTGGTGAACTGATGATCTTCACGCCCAATCAGTCTTTTCTGTTGAGCATGTGAACACAATGGCAATATAACAGTGTTTAAAACATGGTCAACAACGCTCAAATGTTAGCAGGAAATGGACGTTTTTAAAATTATAGAACTGATGGGTAACAAAATTAAAATATCGTGACAAAACTAATTACTCTTGCACTTTGAAAAAAATGTTGATAGTGCAAGCATTTGAAATATTACTTTTGCTTAACTCGAGCACTTAAAAGGCAATATAGGATTTGAGGATTTACCTTTTTGTTGCCTCTTTTCCTTCTCTGGACTGCAGTACATTTCATTTGGACAGAAAACTGTTTGCAGAATTGTCAATAAATATATTCTTTGATATTGTGTTTTATAGTGTGTTTTGTAATCTCTTAACTTCATACTTAGAGTCATACAGGTATTTGTTTGAGAAGCGCAGATATAAGATTTCCATAAAATTATGAATTAAAAGATAAAGATTAAATCAACTTAAAAATTAAGGCAACCAGCTGCACAGCTTTGAGTTAACTGAACTTCTGTTAAGTTGTGCCAACTCATTTATTACAGTTTACTCAACCCCTGTTTAATTTTAGGCAAACTCATAATGACAAGTTAGATGAACTTAGGCTTGAAAGTTGTCATGACTTAAACCAGCCATTTCAGTCAACTTAAAAAAACAATTTGGCACAACTTCAATCACTGAAGTTGAGTAAACTCAAAATTTCTTTGCAGCCGGTTGCTTTAAAATTTTAAGTTTACTCAACTTTTTATTTTTTACAGTGCACCACACCGGGTGACACTCCTGGCAGCTAAGAACAGGAAACTGAATACTTCAAGAAACAATATTTAAAACGTTTTAATACTTTTTAAGGGCCACAAATTGACACCATTTTTGCTTTTCACTGACACCATTTTCATTCCAGAAAAAAAAAAGTATGGTTTTAATGGAAATGTTATTTGTTTTAATGGAAACTGTATTGGTCATTTGAGTCTCTACTGGACATTTTTGCATTCTATTGATGGCATGATAAGAGTAAAAAGAGTAAAAAGTAACTGTGGCCCTGTTCACGCAGGTATTCATATTCAGTTTTATCAATCTGATGCAACTTTTATTATTTACAGGACATAAAAATGCAATTAAAAGTTTCAAAACATATAAACTCAATTTATCAAAAGACTAGCCTGTTTTATGCATTAAATAATGAAATATATAATTTCCTTTATTTCCGATTAGACCATGCATTTTAGTCTGTTTTACAGTATTAACATGAGCATATGCTTTTTTTAAAATAACATTCGTTTAACAAATATTTTAGCACATCGAAAGTGATTAAATTACCTGTCGTTTGATTAAAGAGAACATTGACATTTTGAAACAAAAAAAAAAAACTGAACTGAAACTAAATTATTAAAAATAAACCTGCGAGATTTAATTTATGTTCTGCGGCAAAATTTTTTTTATTATACCTTAAGTGATGAGGTAGGTCAATTTATTTTTTTGCTTTTGATGAAGCAGCATTCAACTTAAGCTCTTTAGACCATGCGACTGACCGTTTCTCAGTGTTTCGCCACAATGTCTTTAAATAAATTATTAATTTAGGCCTATTTTCATTATTCATTTATTTTCATTATTCTTTTATTATTATGTACAATAATTGAGACATAAAATGAAATAGTAAAATATAATCAACAACGAAAATGTAAATAAAAAAGTAAATAAAACATAAATGAAAATGTCTTGTCTTAGTCCTATCAAAATAGCAAACACTGAACATCTCTCTATATTTAGGCTATAAGACTGCTTTATTTATTTATTTATTTATTTATTTATTTAGGCATACTTATTTGTACTTAATGTTTGTGCTTTTATTTCAGTTGTCTTTTATTTCTTCAATTCTATTTTCCAAATAGAGTCCTCTTTGCACTTAAAAAGTTTACAATAAAGCGTGTTAACATATTTTTAAATGATTAATGAAGGAATTATAATACTTTGACTTATTATTTAATCTCATTTACAAGCACAGTAGCATATTTAAAGCTGCTGTATATGCTATTTCTGTCCGTTCGCATCTCGTTCCTTTGTGCCCCCTGGCGGCTTATTCACAGACTGCAGTCATACAATAAAAATATTTACATTTACATTTAGTCATTTAGCAGACGCTTTTATCCAAAGCGACTTACAAATGAGGACAAGGAAGCAATTTACACAACTATAAAGCAGGTGGCACACCAGAAGCGCCGCGCAGCGCCACGCAGCACCACGCAGCACCACTCAGCGCCATGTATTTTAGAATTCTAAACATAGGTTTCTATCAGGATACACACACCGTCGCCGCAAGTCGGCGGCTGTAAGCGGCGCCCGGCAACGACTCAGGACGCAGTTTATTTTTCAGCCGCGCCACATCTGATTAGTTTCATGTTAAATATCATTCGAATGTGCTCGTCTGGTGTGTGTCTCGGCGCCGAGCGGCGCTTCTGGTGTGCGACCTGCTTAAGAGCAACAATGAATAAGTGCTATAGGCAAGTTTCAGGTCTGTAAAGTCTAAGAAGGAAAGTATTAAAGTGAACTTTCACCTACTGTAAATGTTATGTGTGGCTACACTCTTACCTGTAATTACTATTTTTAATTGATTTTCTTTCTTTTTCCCTTTTCAGTTTTCTATTGGTTGTTTTTAGTGACACCAGGCTTTTAAAACTTCTGTTGGGGAGTCCCAACCTGCTATAAGTTTGTTTGTTTGCTTGTTTTTTATTATGTTGTAGGGCTCCCAATCTTTTGTCATTTTGGGTTGTTTAGCTGATTATGTCATGTTATTAAATAATTCAGCTGAAGAATATTGGCCGTTGTCTATTTATGTTAGGTTGTCTTAGGATCACGAGTCTTGTTTAAGTGGGCACTTTAACAATAAACATTACTTATTAGTCTCGATAAAAAAATAAATAAATGAAAATTAAAGGATGCACCAATATGTACTTTTTGGTACCAATAAACAGATAAATTTGGAAATCCAGAGAAGATATATATTCCAATACCTATAAATTTGACTTTATGTTGAATAAGTTATTAATTATAAATCTTAAATGATGCTTGATAAGTCACTTTTGAACATTCAAAACATTTAAACAAACATAGAATGAAAACTGGACTTTTATTTTGTAAAATACAGCAGCCACTTGATCAAAAATATGGATTTAAACCATTTTAAAATCACAAAACACTATATAAGTTTGTGTTGATGGCTTACCCATTCTTTCTGGCGTCCGTGTGTGGTGAAGTCGTACACTGGGATCTTGACGCTCTTGCCCTGCTTGAGTTTGCGGAGCGTGTGAACCAGCAGGACGAAATCAAAGGCGTCTGGATGGTCAAAGTTGTAATCGTTACTAGCGGCCTGCAGCTGCTGTTCAGACGTCAGAACCTGCGGGAAAAACGTCAATATTACACCTCTGACTTCAGCTCAAATGTCTGCCCGCGTAACAGATCATGGCTGGGTCACTGAAAGGTTGCAGGTTCAAGCCAGAGCAGAACTCACTGTTCTTGAGCATTTTCTTTTTAAACAGACTCGACTGCAAAAAAAGTTCTGAAAATACACCGTAGTTGTTCAATATACTGCTTAAAAATAATTTGCATTGTGTACAGTGTTCCCTTTATTCTTTTTTTGAGCATTATATATTTGATAAAACAAATTAAATAGGAAATTTTGGGGGAAAAAAAGATTGTATTGAGCATGCATTTGTTTTCCAGTTGGTGGAATGAACTCCCTAACTGCATCAGAACGGCACTCACTTGCTGTCTTCAAGAAACGACCAAAAACTCAACTATTTAGTCTCCACTTTCTTTCCTAATCTGCAATTGCCTCTCTGGCTATACCACTACCTACTACTACAAAAAAAATTTAAAAAAATTTCTTACATTACTAATGCTTTCCTTCTTAGACTTTACACACCTGAAACTTGCCTACAGCACTTATTCATTGTTTCTCTTATAGTTGTGTAAACTTCTTCCTTGTCCTCATTTGTAATTCGCTTTGGAAAAAGCATCTGCTAAATGACTAAATGTAAATGTAAATGTAAAAAAACTTTTATTAAACCACGAAAGGTTAATTAAATGCTTCAAGTCTGCATAAAATCAATGTTGATTTTAGGGATGCACGACATATTGGTGATTATATCAATATCGACCAATAAATTATAGTTTTTATATTATCATTATCGGTCCGATATAAGAATTAGGCTGATATCTTTAAGCCAATAGGTACAAAATTGTACAGAACTGACTGCCACGTGCACGTGTCAGACTTGTCCACAACACTATAACAGACTACTAAACCTTTGATCGATTATTTTTTCCGGCAACTGACAGCAAGAATTAATATAGAAGCGCTGTCTGATTGACTGGCAGAACCTACTTGTGTTCAAAAGATGAAAAATGCCAAATGGGAAGAATTTATGCTGCATTTTCTAAAGTAAAACATACCATCTGTATTTAGCTTTTTCGCATGGACAATGGCTCTGAACTGTCAAAACACCTCTCAAAAAGTTTTTACGGACATCACATATTTGTACGTGTGTATATTACTGTAACACATTTTATTCATATGACCATTTAAGCTGGTTTCAGTTCTAAGTGCTTTCATTTTCATTTTACTTAAAATATATTTAATTTTTTTGTCAATCAAATCCCATTTTATTAACCTATCATTTATATACAACAGTCAATTTGTCTGTTAATTTACTAAGCAAAGAAAAGAAAATAATTTATTTTTCTCATGCTAATTTATGTGTAATCGTGAATATCTACAGTACATAATCATCTTGCAATCTTAAAATTATTGCTTTTTTGGCTTTTAGTAGGCTATTTAGTTTTTAAAATAAAAATAGTTGTTCACTTTATAAAAAAAAAACTATTTATATTATAACATTTTGTATTGTATTTATATTATGAATATTAATATTTATCGGCTAATATTTATCAATTATCGGCTTTCAAATCTTAATAGTTATCAGTTATAAATCCATATCAGTGCATCCCTACTTGATTTATTGAATGTTTTGTCTTAAAATTAACAATTAATCCATGAAAGTTAATGTCCATGAAAGACTTTTTTTGTAAACTTTGACAAGTTGGGTAAAAAAAAAAAAACACCTCCCACCTAATATTCTGTTCAGTTGAAAATACTGAAATACCTCACCAGAGGTGGATAGTAACGAGTTACATTTACTTGAGTAAAATTATAGGGTAATGAGTACTTTTTGAGTAAATTTAAATATGTTACTCTTACTCAAGTAAATTATTAGAGAAAAATCAGTACTCTTCGCTACATTTGGCGGCATTTCTCCGTTACTGCCAAGTTGTTTGCAAATATCACGAGGCACCGCATTGAAAAGGTTGTGTCGCGCGAGGTTGCTATAGAGACGTATCTCCCGCTTTTGGTTATAGTGTGCATGATGACAAGATGACAACAAGAATAGTTTCATAATGCGATGCACTCTGACCTGAAAAAAGTGGCAAAATAATCAAAATTTTTAGACCTTATTAATGGTAACTATGGGATAACTAAAGAAACTGCTGTTTAATGGAATAACTGATTAGCCCTGCACACATTAGTCATTTCACCATTAAAAACATTCAAACATTATCCTTAACATAAACAATTGCTTTAACAAAAAATATTATCAACACATTTCTATTGTTTTAATATCTCATTTCTAATAACTGATCTGTCACCTTAGAATAAAAAGATTCTATCTGACATTTTTATCAAAATTGAGTTATTGACATATTCTTATTAAATAACTTATTTATATTATGGGATGTTTTCTTTAATATGTTGTTTGCGATTTAGGACTTTTTAGGGAAAAAAAAAGGTGATTATTTTCAAGTGACATTTAAAGACTTAACTAGGTTAATTTGACAAGTTGGGTTAATTAATTAATGATGGTTTGTTCTCTAGACAATCAAAATAAAACTTTATTATATTTGTAAATGTATATATATATATATATATATATATATATATATATATATATATATATATATATATATATATACTTGAGTAATACTTGAGTAATTATTCAATGAAATACTTAAATACTTTTTTCACTCTTACTCAAGTAACTTTTAAGATTGTTTGTTTTACTTTTACTCGAGTACAAATTTCCGCAAGTTCTTGTACTTTTACTTGAGTATAGATTTTGGATACTCTACCCACCTCTGTACTTCACACAGACTTTCAAATTTTGTGTATTTGTTTTTTTGCATTGTTTTGATTTAGCAATGAATTTAAATTAAATCGCCAAATATAAATGAATTAATTTGTTAGTCAATTTAATTTCCATTATTTGATATAATAATTTTGTATTCAATCATAAAACGAAGTAAAATACACTGTTTTGAATGATTAAAATATAATTAAACCAATAAAATGAAAAGCCATAAACTGTCTTGCCTATAAATATAACTGGTATCACCAACAAAGACGCCAGAATTGGAACCTTAATTGTATAATATGTTCAATAACCCCCGCATAAACAGTCTAAATAGATTTTGCTTTTGTAAGTAAACATCTTAAAAGTATCTCGGATCTTCATAGAAGGTCAAATTTATTCGAGGTCTTAGTTGCATGTTTTTTTTTTTTTTTTTGCCCGCTGCATGCAGACCCAGTGCCAGACTGCAGAGTAAATGAAGTGTGTGGTATGATTACCCCTCGTCCTCTGCTAGGGCACATGTCTAAGGTCAGCTCAGCTAAATTTAGGAGGAACGTTTAGAGGCAGGTACATGTACACAAACACATGCTTGCACGTCATTTTGTTCTTTCACTTGCCGTTTCCTTCTCATACATATTTCAGATCTCCAGCATCAGTTGTTTAATGGTTTTAACAAATGCCCAACTAATAGGGGTATAACGGTAAACTAAAGTCATGGTTCGATACATACATTGGTATTGGGGTCATGGTTAGGGCCAGAGAAATCTACATTTTTTGCTATTTTTGCTAAGAATTTTATTTAAAAAATCTGTGGATTAATGCGGAAAGATTTTGGGAGTATCATAATTAAAAACTTAATATATGAAATAACAAATAAAACCTTTTCCACTTTTTTATGCTTACAATGCAATTTTTACATTTAATTAGATTTTTTAGCTGTTTTTATTGTTATTATTAATGTAGCTCACAATATCTATTTATTATTTATTTTCTTTTATTTCTTTTTTTTTTTGCCATAATGACATTAAATTATATTTTACTAGATATTCTTTCAAGACACTTCTATACAGCTTAAAGTGACATTTAAAGGCTTAACTAGGTTAATTAGGTTAACTAGGCAGATTAGGGTAATTAGGCAAGTTATTGTATGACAGTGGATTGTTCTTTAGATTATTGAGAAAAAAAATTTAGCTTGAAGGGGCTAATAATTTTGTCCCTACAATGGTGTTTAAAAAATTAAAAACTGCTTTTTTTCTAGCCTGAAAAAAACAAATATTTTCAGACATGCTGTAAAAATGTCCTCGCTCTGTTAAATATTATTTAGGAAGTATTTAAAAAAGAAGAAAAAAATTTGAAGGGGGCTAATAATTCTGACTTCAACTATATATATATTAATTATATATATATATATATATATATATAATTAAATAATAATAATTAAAAGCCAGGGTGCTGGTCTGCAGAGGACTATTATTTTGAGGGCAATGTTAAAAGCTCAGATTTGGTTGACCAATCAGAGGAAAAGGGGTTTCAGCACCGCCTACATGTGTGAGCAAAAAAAAAGAAAAAAGAAAATCGGCCAATTTTTAGTTTTCCTTTTTTGTTTGAAAATGGATATGGAATGGACGGAAGAGGTAACACTTTAAAATAATGTTCCAATATTTCATGTATTTTCACTTACATAAACTTAGTATGAATGAAGTCATGCTTGTTAACATTGATTAATGCACTGTAGGTTAACATGAACTAACAATGAATGACTTTATTTTGTGAACATTTGTGAATGATTTAAATGTAATGTGCATAACGAATGTGTTTGTAATGCAGCAGGTGACAGAAAAGATGGTTGAGTCAATGGTCTGAGAGGCTTTACTTCCAGATTCCTCAGTGTGCTGTAGAGTCACTCACTGCCTGCCGAACTTAATGGATTATGTAACTTAAAGCACACTAATGGCCTGTGCATGTGCATACACATGCATACATGCATGCACTCACACTCGTTATGCGAACAGATGCAGGAATGTTCTGCATCTATGGATAGAGATTTAATATGCTCACATCAGTATGATTGGGGCTTGACGTACCACAAATGGTGACACATGACTTTTGATTGAATTTACCTTTCAAAGTGTGGCTCAAATATAATCTTTGTATTTTTATTAAAGTCAAGTAAACAAGTAAACCAAAGTTCCCAAAACAGCAAGTATTTAAA